CCCCTACCCCAACCCCTGCCCAAAACCTTTAACCACCCCCTGCCCGCCCTTGCCCCACACCTGCTCCACACCTGCCCCACACCTGCCCCACACCTACCCCACACCTGCCCCCCAACCCTTAACCCAACCCCCGTCCCAAATCCTGCACCAAGCCCTTACCAAACTCCTGCCCAAAACCCCTACCCCAACCCCTGCCCAAAACCCTGTCCCACCCTCACCCCCTGGCAACCCCTGCCCTTCCCTGCTGACTGTATCCCGACTTATGATGTCCACCGCTTCCCTATTGCCTTCCCATTCTTACATCATATTGTGTGGGTGTTGTTAAAATGTACCTTCATGTGTTTTTCTGTCTTTGTTTAGATCTGGCAGCATTGTGACTGTATTGATATGAAGGAGCCAGCTGAACATTATCTATGTGAACTCTGCCAACCCAGACCAGTGCCAAAGGTATGACTTCCGGTAGCTTTGTCAATCTCAATGCCAACAGGGAACAGTCTGGTAGTAATTTGTGTGCTCATTAGGCAACGTACGACCAACCAATATTCGTCTGAATATACATGTATGTGCACAAACTCACAAGAGCCCCAGGCGGACAGCAACAATGGCAGTCAGGAATCTGCCTAACTCTCTCTCTCTCTCTCTGTCTTTGTAACCGTTTAGGGGTACTGGAGACTATAGACTAGTGGTAATTGGGGTACCAGTTTTGCACTTAGTTGTTACAGGACATTTCAAGCAGAGATGCCTAGGTGTTAGGGTTAATCACATGTTTTATGAGATGTTTTTAGATGGAACCATGCGCTATCTAATGCAAAGTTATTGATCTCAAAAACACGTCTTCATTGTGTACAAGTGTTGTGAGTGTTTCACGCTGAATAACGCACACTGTCTGTAACATACACAGGAGATTCGCATGGTGCCCCAGCCCAAGTTTGCTCAGCCGGATCAGACCTATTACCTGTGCCTACAGAGAGATGAAACGCTGACCGTCAGACAAGGTACAAGACTATTCTCATCCATTTGTTAGAAAAATTGTAATAGCAAGTGAGTTCATATACAAGACCATTTATACATGCTTTTTTAGTAGCTGCCATAATCAAGGTAGACAAGATACAAGACGTCTATCCATTTGTTTTTATAGTTGCCATAATCAAGGTAGACAAGGTACCAGACATTCTATCCATCCATCTATATAGTATAGTAAAGGTAGACAAGGTACCAGACCATCTATCAATTTATTTATTTTTGGGGGGGTTAATGTATTTAAGTTTTTTTATTTATTTATTTCTCCCAGCCAACAGCGAATAATCGCCAATTACAGGCTGAGTACAGTTTGTTGTAATAGTTGCCATAATCAAGTTAGACAAGATGCCAGACCATCTATCCATTTTTTTTAATACATGTAGTTGGGTCATTCCATAAATGTGAGGCGTTCTGACAAAATGAGACAGAATTGGGCAGAGGGAGAATTGAGCATTTGTGGGTACATGTATTAGGAAAGAGAATAGAATTCTCCTTACACTACAGTTTGTTGCACTTCAATCGGACATTCCGTTGACAAGTTATGGCTGCTTTTTGTCTGTTGACTGAATCGGACCAGTCACAGTGCTTGATCTAACTGTTGGTGACTATCCTATGTAAAAGGCATGGCAAGGGAAGAGGACTGATTTTTTGACTATCAGACAGCAGGAGGGAAAAAAAAAATGTTGTCCTTTTGATTGTTATACATACACATTTTAATTTAACTCAGTTGTAATGAGAGATATATTGACCACTACAGGCTGCTGCGTCTATCTTGCCAATGACAACCAACATCAAAATGCCGACGGATCAGGGATCAAGACCGCGGCGGAGGTGATGTCAAACGTCGACCCCGCTGAACTCAAACATATTCAGAGTAGATAAACTCTGGAAGAATGAAAAGTAAGTGGAACATTTAAAAAACATAGTGCAGTAATCACACAAATAATCCTAGGGGTGTTCAAGAAACAAGAAATATGTGTGATGTGTTTTTAAAGAAAAGCCACCCTTCTGAAAAAGCTGAGTGAAAACAGATTTTATTTATTAGAAATTGATTAATATGATACAATTGTGGTTTAATTTCTGAAAACAGGACTTCCTTGGCAAACTAATTCCCATTTAAAGCCCTCAGTGTCACAGATGTGAAAAGAAAAATGCCCTGAAGGTTTACTAAATCCCTAATCTCACCCAAAGCTACAAAATACTACTGAGTAGTAACCTGTAGTATGCATTTCTTTCCATACGAGTGCGCACAGTACATTTAGCATTCTGTGATATTTGGTCCTTGACCCCCAAGGAGCCCTTAGGATGTTAGGGTTAAGCTGGGGTTATGTAGTTTTTGGACTGTTGAAACCCTTTACAATTTACCCAATAATTACCATGAGAGGTGAAACTGTAGTCTTAAACTTTCACAGCATACTTTAGACATAGTAAGAATCACATCTTAATTTTTTTGTAAATTTCAAAAATACATTTTAGCCCGCATTACTTTTAGGTGATATCTGCATTTCAAGCTCTGCCCAGAAGTGTCTGATTTTTGACAAGACATTACACCTATATATCCTTACAATAAAATTGCATGCACATGAGTGTCATTGCCTAGCGTCAAGAGCACCGGACTCATGCTCTGGTGTTTCAGAGGCAACAGAATGTGGGTTCAAGCCCGGGTCTGGACACTTGTGCCCTTGAGCAAGGCACCTAACCATTATTGCTTCGTCCTTCAGATGGGACGTAAAGCCGTAGGTCCCGTGTGTTGTGCAATGCACGTAAAAGAACCCAGTAACACTTATCGCTTAGAGAAGGGGTTTGCCCCAGTGTTTCAGGCCTCCTGTTAAAACTTCCCCTGCGGAGTATTTAGGAGAAGAACCAACCAGTACCAAGTACCAAGCACATTACTTTGTCAACTGTGGTTTGTTTGGCACACAAACAAGTACATCACCATGGGTACCTGTTATGATTTTTGTTTCTTTTCTCAGCGGTGAGCAGTTTGCCTTTGGCCATCATTTCCTGAGACCCTACGAGACTCACCACACTCCCTCCAGGAAGTTCTTCAAGAACGAGCTCTTCAGGGTGCCGCTGTATGAGATCATTAAACTAGAGATCATCGTGGGAGTCTGCTGTGTCATGGACTTCTACACGTACTGCAAAGGTATGCTCGACAGTGAACACGTTAATTATAGTTGACCATCTTTCGACTGTCCTCGCTTGAACCCATGCTAGTTGACTATAGTTGGACTAGACTAATGGACTTTTTGGTACCAGCCTATCAAGGTTGATCACATGGCTGGTTACACTGCGACACATTTTGATAATATCTCAGGGGTCACACAGTTTAACTGAACTGTTGTTGACGTTGGCTTAATCTTCTATTTGTTTTATTTGTGTTATTTGTTGTGTTTATGTTAGGCCTATTTATTTCTTATTTTAACTGGGTAGCCCATTCAGTGGAATCCACTGGTCTCCCAGGGCCCCAGTAAAGAAAGACAATGTGAAGAAATTACAGTTTTAGACATGGGAGGAAAACCCCAGAAGAACTTTCCGAGGAAACCCACGGAATCAAGTAGGGACTGAAAAACCAATCCACATATTGGCCCAGGCAGGAATCGAACCCGGGTCACAGCGGTGGAAGGCGAGGAAAGTACCACTACGCCAACCGTAGAATGTTTTAGAATGTCTCAAGATCATTTCGATATTTTTCAGCATGATACTTGATCCATTAGCCATTAGCACCTATACAACATTGTATTACATTGCATTTACTCCTTGATGAATACATAAAGCCTTTCAGTGCTGGTGCGGTTTGGAGTAGTACAGAGAGTAACCAATGCTATTCCAGCCAGCCGACCCTGGCAAGCTCGGTGGTCAAGTGATAAGACATCTGCATTAGTAAGCAGGAGGTTGTGGGTTCAAATCCAACCCAAGGTCAAGCTTGTAATTTTTTCTCAGAAGTTTAAAAGTCGGGTAGATCATTTGTCATTAATGCATTTTTTTTGTTTGAAGCAACAAAATTGCTCAAACCCAAAGACGGGTGCTAACCTGAAGAAGTTTCAGCTTAGTGCTGTTTATAAGCAAACCAAATTCTAGGATCGCGATTTCAATTCAAAAGTTGCAGAGCCATGTTTTGAATTGCGCCCGAAATTAGAATCGGAGACACATTGTTATTCAGCCGATTGCAGTTTCGCAATGCTACGCACAGAACCGACCAATAATAGCAACTGCCTGCACGTGTGCATCGTGTCAACGCTTGCACGCGCACCCGTTCACGGATTTGCCAAATTACAAACAGTAATTTCCAAAACTGCATAACTTGACTCATCTTTGGAAATTGCCTTTTTTAGTGTTTTCTTCAAAGTGACAGCATGCCACAAAGAATAATTTCACAGGGAATTTATTGCCATAAACTATCTGTAGACCAAGTAAGCTTTTCAACAATAATTTTGTCAGTTACTTTTTGGATCGCTTCAAATAATGTACTCTGCCTTTAAGAAATTATGTCAGTGGAGGGCAAAATCTATCATCTCCCTGACCCGTGAGTTCCGCTCATATACACTCATGTCTCTTTTGCCCTGCAGGGAGACCTAAAGGTGTGGAGGAGAAGGACGTGTATATCTGTGAGTACCGTCTGGACAAGACTGCGCATCTCTTCAATCCCATCAGCCGCAATAAATACCCCATCTGCACCAAGACCTACGCCTTTGACAAGTTTGACAAGAAACTGGTCCCCAAGAGAGACTACTCGGTGAGTTCTCATTGAGTTACATGTTGGTCCAAATTAGAATTGATAGTTGCTCTCCTTGTGTTTTTTTCATCCTGAAAATTATTGTTAATTATTGTTTTTTCAGTTTTGTCCACTTTCGAATGAGACATCAAACAAAAGAATAAGACTATTTTTATGTCTGAAAGATAGTTACATAACAAATATCAAATTAGTTGCCGACAAAAATAATTACGGTGGATCTTTTGGGTGTTAAAGCCACAAAAGCGACCCTTACCTAAACGATCAAATTGAAAATTGGTTTTCGAGAAAAAAAATGAAGTTGTTGAAGAGTGTACAGACGGTAAATAGTTAAACACAGCATCAGACCAGAGGCAGTAGTTAAAATCTACACAACGGGCTCTGCTGTCCACTTCTGTTTTCCCCCTATTGGATGAGTCCTTGGAAGGTGTACATAAAACCTGCTTCTTGTACCTCCAGAAGACAAGCAGAAAACATGTATACTGTTCGAAACATCAAGACCCTATTTTCACCACCATCACTCTTCAGAGCCAACATTACATCACAAGAGGGATTTGCCCATGGTGTACTGGCAAACCGGTGTGCCTGCAACTTCCGCAAGCGTCAGCTGTCGCGCGTTAAAATGCACATAAACGTTAAATCTGTTTTGCTTTTCCATGTAGCCTGGCTTTCATTTTGGAAAATCCCCACAAATGGCATTCAAAACCTTTCTTTTTCATTGTCTGTTACTGAGTAATATGTTAAGTTGGTGGTGGGTACCGATCCCATAATCTGGAACCGGTTCCTGACATCAGCGGTCAGATACCCAGCTGCCTGGTTCTGCTGCTCATGCTTATTTGGTGGAGCGGGCCGTGTGAGGCTTATACCATTGTTAAATAATGCTTCATAAGATGAATGAGATGTGCTTATCTTTTGTGTTTCAGCCACACCTTGTACCGGAGCATTTTAAGAGGGGTTATGGTGGCCGGTAAGTACTTCTAATCTTTTGTTTCACAATAGAACAATCTGTAATTTTGGTTTCTTGCAAACTTGTGACGTAGAAAAAGTTCCCTTTGAAACAAATGGAAGACATTTTATTTTTTTTGTAGACTGGGGAAAAAACCACAGAGAGCTTTATCATGAACTACTCCTTTGATCAAGTGGGGCCTGGCAAACTCAGTTCATATGGTCAGTGTCGTAATCGATTGTAAGCTGATCGTAAGCCATCTTAAACTCATCACAAGCCAATCACAAACCCATCACAAGCCTATCACAAGTCTGTCAGAAGTCATTCAATACCAAATAAACCCACAATCTGCATATGAACAGTGACAAGGGCATTCCTTTGTTATTGTTCGTCCCCTGTGACTTGCAACTGGACTTGTCATTTACGTATGACTAACATGTATTTTGCGGCCTCAACTACAAGCACATTAGGCTTTTGCGCTGTATTACATTTGATCCTTGTCTGTTTCAGCGCCACATGTAGCAAAGACAAGACAGATGGGGAAGAAGGTGACAGCAACGCACCCCAGGAGGGTCACAGTGCACACCCAGTGATAAACAACAGCACAGAAACAAAGGCAGCACGGGAAAGAACAAGACCAACAGGTACGTCTGACAATCAAATAAATTAATATCAATTTCAAAAAGCCGTATCCTCTCTGAGTGATCCCTGTTTGCTATTACCTAGGTCTGTATCGTGACTTTGGGCGTGATCCCTGGCTGCATGGCTTCTGACTATCGCCCTTTGAACAAAGATATTGACGAATTGGGGAACCACCAACATAGGGCTGGATAGCTCAGTTGGTAAAAGGAGCGGAACGGTTATCCGGAGGTCGCAGGTTCAAACCCCGCTCCAGTCAATTTCTTTGTTCAACTTTTCAAAAAATTGTTGTAATTCACATAGTCGGTTTCCCTTTGTGGTTCAAGGGCGGATCCAGAACACAATTTTTTGGGGGGCCCAAAAAAATTTGGTCCCCCCAAAAAGTGGGTCAAAAAAATTATGGCCTGGGGTTCGGGGCCCGCTTAATGGCCCCGAAATTTTTTTTGGATTCTAGATGCTCTGTGGTGCGATCTGAGGCAATTTCTGACCACTTTAACCAACGTTTTTTTGAGGAAAAGATGGTGGTGTACTCATTGCCTGCCTTTATTGCGATGTCACATAAAAAAATTAAAAAATTTGGTTTTTTTTTTTTTGGGGGGGGGGGGCCATGGCCCCTTTGGCCCCCCCCCCCCCCCCCCCCCCCCCGGATCCGCCCTTGTTGTGGTTCATTTTGAAAATTAATATAAATGAAAACTTCCATTGAAAAACTCAGTGAAGTTTAGAGGAAAAAAGTGTAGAGCAACACAAGTCTCTGTTTAAAGGGCACTGGGCATGCATCTTTAAATTCCTCAAGTTATAAAAGTTGATGATACCACCAGTATTCTGCAACCAAAAAAATAAAAGCCACGACTTTACTAAAAACGTTTAATCAGTGTTTAGTCAGATCGGGGGGCATCTGTTTCAATTTGTGCTTTTCTCTTTTTTTTTTTCTTAATTTTTTTGGAATGAGCAGTGCCGATGAGTCGAAGAAACTCAAAAAAATCAACAAGAAGCGAGAGAAGGAGCAATCCTTGGCAATGAGACGGCTGATAGAGCAGCAGAAAGCTGAGAGAATAGCTGTCCAGAAGGACCGACTCAATGGACTGCTGCTGGGTCTACTAGCCAAGCTACCTAACAAACAGCGTAGGTTGCAATCAAGTACAGCCAGTCTCTGGTTAGGATAGCCGTTGGTAACCCCCGTTCCAGACTAGTGTTTCAAAAATTGAAATTATAAAGCCAGTCCCTGTCAATATTGGTCAAGTCACTGTGGCAGTATATAGATGCACTATCAACAAGATGAATCAAAATCGAGTCATTTTAAGTTTGGTACTCCGACCCGAGAAATTCCAGTCATACCTCAAGTGCATTTTATTCAAGCTAATGTAAAAGTAAAGTGTGATGTATGCTTGGAATTTCTAGATCCAGACTATACATTCCAGAGACGCATGAATTAAAGTATTCCTAAAATTTGAATTATGCACATGAAAGTTGTGATGACTTGTGATTGACTGTTGCAGTTTTTCGGAATGAATCCAGGGTGTTTGGTTTTTAGACATCGCATTGTCCTGTAGAAAATTAATGCATAAAGCTTGCTCATCTGAGACCAAATTCTATTTTCAAATTGGTCGACTTGACTCACTCCTGATGCTGTTGTGTCTTGCAATTCTGTAATGCTTTGTTTTTGGTCTGGTTTTCAATGAACCAGTCATGCACATAGCCTTGAGTTGTCATTTGTCTCTGGAATTTTACCATTGTACATGTATATTTGTTTTGTCGGATAGCTGTTGATCTGACGTACTTACTGGAGGAAGGAAATGGCAAACGTCGCTGCAAGAGGCCGCCTCATTCATTGGATGGATTTTTCTGACGGCATGACTCTGAGAAGATCTACCTTGATGGTGTCTGGAGGTGTCAGCATCTCCTACACTGATTGAGGTAGATGCTGATCCTGACAATGAACGACTAATCAGCTTCCAAGATCAACTCCTTATATTTGGCTTTTTCGTGGGTATGAAAAAGAAGTTTGACAGTCTAAAAGGTCACAAATTTTCGAACATTGTTGAAAGCTCTGTAAAGAGTTTGCGTAATGAGGAGCTATTACAAACGTAGCTACAGTACACTTGTGCAGTGAACAAAAATGCCACTTGCAATGATTTGTGCTGAAAAAAAGGGATACATGCAGTTGATCTTTGTTTGGTCACAAGCCCCGCCCACTTTTGGTGTATTGACCAGTTGACTGAGTTTGATAGGCTGACCATGGTCACCTGACTAAAAGTTGTGATCTAATTGGTCCATGTGCGGGTTTGATTGACAGACAGAAAGGGTCCCTTTACAGATTGACAGGTGGTGGACACAAGTTCTGACAGATAACGTGGTCAGCCATTTAATACGGGCGACTTTTTAATGCAGATCTGAATAATCAAGTAGAATTTTGGACAGTGATAGATATTTTTATCGTGATGGTTTAAAGTTTATGTTCTAGCTTTGCGGCTGTTCAGAATTGCAAAGGATAGGGGGACAACGATGTTCACTGGATTGTTTATTTTTTACTGAACAATAAACTGGTTGTAATTAATTTGTGTATAAAGTGTTTGGTTTGGAAGAGAGCATGCTAGAAAAGAACAGGTCGGGGGTGGGGGTGGGTGGGGGGGCTTTAACTCTGTAGCACGCCATGAGTTGGACTGGTTAGTGTAAGACAGACTTTTGTTTGGCTGGGCTTGAGGCTATCTCAGGCCACGTCTGAATTACTTGGCTGTGGCTTAGGACTCCATATGTGCTTATGGAGGCAGCTGTAGCCACTCCCCATAGATGTGTCTGTCACTGCTAGCCGTAGCCACGTTATTCAGACGGGGGGGCCTTGGAAGAATCTTGACTGAGGCTTTGTAATTTTGTCTATGCAATAGTGTGTTACAGTGGTTTGCCCCAGCTAATGCTGTGTACCAAAGATGTAAATGTGTAATGTAGTCGGAAAAGGTAGAACAAATTATGATAATGAAATTATCTTGTTAAAAAACGGAGGAAGCATTTCAATGAAGCTGATAATGTTGGTAGGATTTTTTTTTTTTTTTTGGATATGCGGGGGAGGTAAAATAGCTTCAGGAATTACTTGAAAGGCTTATGTGTGGAATCTACTGAAAAAAAAATTACAACTGTAAATAGTATACAGAATGACAATTATAATGGTAGTAATAATAGCTGTTTCTTGTAAATGAGTTATAACATGTGTACGGTTAAAAACCACCGGAGTTGTACAAATTAAAAATCTACCATTTAAAAAAAAAAATTATTATGTTTTAGGAACATGAGAATTTGTTGGATAATGTGTCCCGTTTATGTCATTAAATGGCTGTATTCCGTAGTTGATCATAAAAAAAATACAGAAAACAAATGCATGTTCATGGCAAGGTTTTGATTCGATGTGTTCCATGTTGATTGCACCGTCCCACTTTTTTTTGAACAGTATTGCTTTTTTTTTTAAAGTTTGCAATTGCAAAAGATTTACATTTTTTGAAAGGAACTAAATATACCGTAGATAACGATGATGCATAGCTATCTGTTTAATATTGAGAGGGTTTTGAAAGAAACCCGTATTCAGTTAGTGGAATTGCGAGTTCATTGAACCCATTGGTCGCTGTTGCTAAATAATCAGTTGAACATTTTCTTCATTGTTTTCTGTGTTCCAGACACAAATTAATATATATTAATAGCCACTGTTGGTTAGCTGACTTCTTTAAGAAAAAGGCTGGCCATTATTTTTTTTGAAACTCGTCTCTTTTCATCAGTGAGAAAAATGTAATTGGGTAACAGTTTGCTTATCATGTGGTTATTGCATTTAAATTCTTGTTTTCTAATCGCTGTACAAATCAATGATGTGGTATTTTCACTGCGCTGATTCACAGTCAGTTTATGACTTAAATGCCAGTTTTTAGTGTTCCTCAATTCATGCTATCTTTTATACAGTGTTATAGAAGCGTTCGCGTTGGTATGTCCTGCGCTGGTGAAATGAGCCTTTAACTGATAGCTTTTACCAGCAATACTTTTTTCCGGTTGTCACAAAATGGACAGAGTTGGTTTTTGTCTTAAGAATATTTCCCACCGCACTGCACTCCATGAAATTTTAATTGACGAATCACTTCTCGTGCTGAAATTGGCCCTGCCTCGGTGCATTTACCGAACGAATGTTGAACTGTTTTGTTGTTAAGGTGCAATCTGTACAGATGTTTAAAAAAAAAAAACGTTTATGTCACAACTTACCCTTTTTCTGCTAGTGCGATACCAATTGTAGTGAGAATGTTAACAGCTTGTCTGTGGCGGTTGTTAAACCGCTATGGTTTCAGCCCGAGAAGGCTGGCTTCGTTTAGTTATTGAGAACTCCTGTGTCATTGTATTTATTTTAGTTACTATCGAAATAGTTTCAGCAAAAATAATTAAACTTTCAACGTTGCAAGACCGTTCATGTTAGCAGTTCGCGGGTCTTGTCTTGAATTCAGTTTTTGCATCTAATATTAAGGAATGTTTCTGGTTTTCGATTTTTTTTAAGACGCTGAATGATATTTTTATCAATTTTTAACAAAAATGCTTTATCCGTATTCATTTTTAAATCCGTTTTAACAGGAAAATGTCGGAGGATAACAGTTAGCGAAAAGAAGCTCCACTCTCTTTCCAAAATGAAAAACTGAAATTTTACAGACTGTCTATAAGTAATCACTCGTTTTGAAAAATGTTCAAGGTATCCAATCTTGTTACTTGCAATGTTCCCAATCATGTAGATATCTCGTGTAAATTAGGACCGAGAGGCAGCCCATGTTTTCATTTACTTTTTTACAGCTGAATATTTCGGATAATTTTGTTCCTGTTGAAGGAAGAAACCAAGGATTTAATCGTTACAAAGCAGTTCAAAAAGCATATTTTTGCAAAGAATTTTACCAACCTTTTTGATGATGCTTGTAAAAATCTGTGTTCTGTTTGTCCGTTCCCATAACCAGTACTTGTAACAAGCTGTTAGATGCTTTTGTTGCACTGAATTTAATTCTTCAGTTTTAGTCTTTAAAGAAAAAAAACACTTAAGCGAGTTAACTCCTTTTTATTTCTGTCACTTTTACTTCCTAATGATAAAGTATTCTACCCTGCTCTTTCCAAGACCGCTGAAAGGAAAACGAAGCTTTGTTTTTTTTACGTTGCAATGAAAAAAATCTGTGTGTCTGTTTCTCGCACAATAGTAGCTGGTACAATTCTTTTGAAAAAGAGAGGCTTTCTGGTTGATTAGCACACAACCGCATTGTATTTCCAACTGTTCTGCTTCTGGTAATACCTGTTAATTATTGCTTGACTGTCAAATATTATGTTAACTGCACAGCACTACTAAAAGTTCGGTTTTGTAAGTTTGTGAAATTACTGAATTATTCAATTTTGTGTGGTGGCGTCTGTGAGGTAGTTCAGATACCCCATCTTTGTGTAATGCCGAAGAAGAAAAGCCGCGTTGTTTCATCTTTTGTTATGCTTTGCCAAATCCCGATTTGTACGTATTGTAACATTTTGACAAGAAAATGGCAAGGATCATAAAATGTCATGTTATAGGCCTACCAGTCAGACGTTTGGGATGATCTGTTTATTTCTTGTTGTAAAAGGGTTGCGTTGCCTTGTGCAAGTCCCGTGTGTAGCAGTCGGGAAAAGGGGCGTGCATGTTGTATCAACAAAAGCTGTTTATTAAATTATTCAATTATTACTTTAATTACCCCCCCCCCTGAATACAAGTTTAAAGACCGGTTGAGAGCTGCTTTTACCCTTCATTGATACTTTCATGCAAGGGCCGTCACAAGATGATGACACGGATATATTTGGTCGGCTAAATAAGGCAATTTCGTTCTTACCTGCAACATTTAACTTGGAAGTAAATAACTGGTGTTTTCTTAACCACGGCTTCGTCTCCAATTTCGGTTTTGCGAGAGTTTTACGTCCACCCCCTGCATTGATTGACTTCGATGGATCCAAAATTCTGGATCAGGAACATCGAGTCCTATGATATTATTAGGCCAAAGTTCAGATGATTCCGGAAGCCAGTGAGGCTGGAGAAGCAACCGGTGTTCTTGAAAAGTCCCTAAATTTGCTCAAATTTAAAATTCGTATTGGCCTATTGGCTGATCAATGTCTCTGCTAAGTCGTGCCTAGCCCCTGTCGTGGTTGAATCAATCTGCCTTCCTCATGATAAATCTAATGGACCTGCTTTAGCGTTTTGATAAGGCCATCCACGACGCGCGAATTCAGCGAAGACTACACACGCCACGTTGACAAACTCACAAGGCGTTGTGCATTTAACCAAAGTTATTATGGCTATAATAATTATGCCTATTATTTTAATAGACAATATTTGTTTCACGCGTGCAGTAATTTTCCATTTTCCAGCGCACATGTACATACTTCCTGTGGTAAATTGATGGGTATATATAAAGCGCAGATTCTTGATAACGAGGTTAGAAACGCCGAAAGCAACCGTGCAAACAAGATCCAAACTACAACGCAGACATGGGGAAACTTTTCATCTGCAAATGTCACCGACTACCCAGACAGACGCAAACTATCTCGCAGACGGTTCCGCGCACTGTCTACGCAGTCTGCAAAAGTATAACGTCGATATGGAAACCAGGCTTTGTCCAATCAAAATTCAAAATGCCTCGATCGTTACTACATAATATCGCCCAGTGGGCGCTAGCCATTCGCTTATTTATTTCCCAAAGTACATTGAGGTCCGCCCGCCATGACAAATCCTCTTTTCTCCTTTCACGCGCGACAGGAAAGACGTGTTTTTTTATCTTCAAGATCATCAATATTTGCTCTCTGTTCTTGTCGTTTTCCTTAGCCATTAGTTACGCTAAGTTTGCGGTATTTATCGTCTACTGCCTTCTGGAAAACTTCGTATTCTGCTGTCATTTTTGGTGCATCGGGCAGGAAGATTAAGCGGAGTAGCGCCTGCCCCATCCCACCTCGGCATTCCCTCTCCCGCTATTGTCACGGAAGTGTGCTTGCCCCGCCTCGGCAACTCGCACTTCCACCCGACGGTCTAGGCCTACTATACCGGGCTGATCCCCGCCATTCCCTTCCTTGTCAAGCGGAAACGTGCCTACCCCATCTCGGCAGTTCCTCCTCCCCATTTACAGCGGAACAACGCTTGCCCAACTTCGGCAACATGCATAGTCCAACTCCCACATCATCCACAGCGACCGGTCACTTGTCAAGCGGAGTTGCATGATTTGCCCCATCTCGGCAACTCGCACACCCCTATTGACAGAGGAGTTACGCTTGGCCCACCTCGGCAACTCGTACTCCACTCTCCGAAGACCAGTCGGTTGTGAAGTGGAGTTGCACTTGCCCCACCTCGGCAGTTTGCACTCTGGAACAATTACATAATCGTGCAGCTTTGCTCACACGGCATCGATCGACATTATTCCTGCAATATACCCGTCAAATGGAGATGCTCTTGCCATGCATCAGCTCGCACTCCACAAATTGTGACGTTTATTCGTACCGTACCGTTACAACATGATGGGAGTACAGCTAGATGAAACAGACCAGTGTCCGAGTATTTGGAAATATTCCTCCAAAAAGACTTCCGGTGGAACAAGCAAGCCCAGCATGCATCTGTCAGGGCTACAAAAATCCTGAATTTCATCAAAAGAAATGTTCATCATGCTTCCTCCTCCATCAGAGAGGTTGTATCTTCCCTTGTTCGACCCCATCTTGACTACGCTATGGCAGCATGGGACCCTCATACTTTCAAGAATGATCAAAGAATTAGAAAAAGTCCAGAAGAGAGCTGCAAGGTTCGTTTCAAACACCTATGGACGTGACACTAGCATCTCTGCTATCGTGAAAGTCTTGATTGGACACCCTTGGAAGTATTAGAGGAAAACAGCACCGCACCTTTTTTTTATCCTGATGGACTTATGGACATTGACAATACCAAATAGCCTACATCCCCCGAAAAAAACTGGAAGATCGCGACGAGGACACAATAGTACACAGTTGCAACTTCACCAGGCCATGACTGACAGAAATGCTTCTTCGTTTTTCCCAAGAACACTTAAAAATTGGAATGACCTCCCGGACTCAACGGTGGCGCTGACCAGCCCACACTCCTTTAAGAATGTTCTTTTGTTACAAAACTTAATCTCGACCACTCTCACCACACCTCCAGTTTAAATTCCCCAGATGGAATATTTAGGAGGATCACCAACCAAGTAACAAGTACCAAAGTAACTGCTACCTTGACGCACCGGCATTCCTCCCATTTCCCAGCCTGCGACCGTTGACGGTCAACCAGTGTCCTTATAGCGGTCAGTTAGGACAATGGATCCACCCACTTTGACTCTGAGTTTTCATTGTTCCTGATCCATCTTGTCAGCTATAGCTATACTGTTAGTCTGTTGGCAGCTGACCACTTACCGCAGCTTACTAGACGGTTCTTCTGTTCGTATTGTGCTGCCCTGTGCCCCACTTCAAATGCATGTTCTTATACCCCAATGCACCCTCCTTTGACCTCCTAAAGTGGGTCATTAACAAGGTTGTTTTACAGCACGAACTGGGTCCCTTCTAGCGTCTCAGTTAGGCCATTCCCTTGGACATGTTGGTAGTGATAGCCTTCCTCCTTACCGCAAATATGGCTTGCTGCACACCAAACTCCATAGGCCCTCATTCCAGGTCACATTCTTTGGATCCAGGTGATGGGCATATTACCCCCAATTGCTCCTTTCTTGCAAGAACCACACGTTGATGTTATCTTTACTTGACATCTTGGAATCCATCTCAAAGTCTGTCTCATCCACTTGAATGATGACTTTGGACCCCTCGTCCATGCCCTATGGCTCTTACATCGGATGGTGTCCAACTGCAGCAACTGTCAGACTCTAAACCTCACTGCAGTTCTGCCACACTGTCCAGCATCTCGCAACACTGTCACCTTCCGGCTGGTGTCTGCCAGATGCTCATCATCGACGGATCGGCCTGATGACTTCCTAACCAGGGGCATGCCTGAAAGCAGGGGCGTAAATCCGGGGGGGGGGGGTATATCCCCCAGTAGAAGTGTGGGCTGATTTTAACGAGTGCCTGAAAGAGCGCCCATAGAGCGCCCTCCATTCTCGTGTACGTGTTGACGGATGCGCTTGTATACAATGCACGGTCGAGAATAGAGGCTGTGTAATGGTGGTTGGGCTTAAAATAGTCTGGAATTCAATCTTAGCGATGGCCAGTGACATCTAGGAGTTATTGCATATGTGGGGCAATGCTCTACGGGTAAGTACTCGCTAGTAGAATCAGCCCACACTTCCGTATGTGGGGAATTCTTTAGACCATTATGTGCCCTGTGACATCATGCCGACAGGCAACCGCCGTGCAAACCAAATACTGAAGCATCTTTTTCTTGTTATCAACTTGCATTAAACAGTATAATGTCAACACTTTTTAAACCATTCATATTTCAAAAGATGTACATGCTGTGCAGAAGAGAACTGTTTGCTGGAAGATGGCATCACGTGACCACAACATCTAATTTTGTTAACGTATAGGCTATGTCACATGATCTATAGCCAATGCAATTGTCATAAAGTCTGGCAGAGATATTTGCTTGCCTGTAATATTTTATATGCCTTCATTTACCGAGTAGTGATAACCACAACAGGGCCCCTTTTACCAATTTTCTTCAAAGTTTTGGTCAAACAGTAGTTGGGGATAATTCCTATACTTGTATTAGCATTATTACAAATACTTCCACACTTCTTTGTGCCATTTCATGTAATACCAACGTAGTGAAGATGCACATTTTCAGGTCATCACGACATAGCGCTTATTCTGGGTAAAAAAGAAATTGTCCCAAAAGTTGACTTTTATTCATATGCTGTTAGAATGGTTTAAACTGGTGTACCAGTCAGTTTGGATTCATTCAAGAAATGCCAAAAAAGCACTGGAATTCAGGTATTTATTTCTTGCATCCAATAGGAGATCAGGAAGCAAAACCATCGGGCTGGTTAAACTGTCCTTTGTGTAAACTATCAGCGCATGACCCAAGTTATAAACACCAGGTTAATATTCGTGAATGATTACACGATTTTTAGAAAACCTTCGCCATATAAAGCGCTTGGACATTGGACATGTAAACATTATTCGCGCTCTTCGTATGACCGAAACCTTGACGTTCTGCACTTATTCACTCGCAGAGAAGTAAATGGGACTGTTACTGGTAGACTGGTGGACCTGTTCACTTCCAACAACAGTGTATTGGAAATGGAGGCAACAGAGAAAAAGTACGTATAGAAGTTTCACTATACAAGTAGTGTTGAATTTCAGAACTCTGAACCGTTACAGGCTTGCTTGGTGTCTGGTTAGGGATGATAGTTTGGGGTTTCTTTCCAAGTACAGTATATAAACTGTATACATGTATAATAATCCAAAGCAGTGTTCTCTGTCTTGTGGGCTGTGTCCGCTTTTATTCGTGCAATATATTGTTGCTGAACTTTACAGGGCCAAAACCTAACACATTTGAATCTCAAAGGTTTATAAATTGGGGTCGATTGATTGCCTTCGTTTTTGTTGTTGCAAAAGATGCCAGTTGCCGTCTTCCTGAGAATAATCGTAAAAATCGCGATGTTACCTGCAATCAATCCTCATAGTGGTAACAACTGGAAAATGAGTTTAGTAAAATACAATATTAAAAGCTTGTTTTTACATATAAAAAATACGTATTTTAATCTGAACCATTACTGTGGCTTTTAATCACATTTTGCAATCAGGGAACACTCCCGCGGAGCTCTGACACCAGTGTACCTGAGACCACGCTCCAAGTCAGCATTCGATATCTCAAGCAACTCGTCTCGAGTTGAGGCAGGGTAAATCATTAATGTAAAACAGTCCAACAAAATCAGGGGCCGGGGGTGAATCCCACTGCTTTATGGCGTTTGTGGCCACCATAATGCCGATTCTGCGTAATTTGGGGAGGAGGTTGATCATTGGTTGTGAGTGGAGCAGTAAGGAACTATTATATCCATCTTTAATATAGCGAGATGGGACTGAGTGGCATTGTACTTTGACTTTATTGGTTACTGATAAATTGCAACAGGTGATTTATCTTTAACCGCCAAGTGCTTGTTGTGTTGTGATATTTACATTAATTTTATCAGAGTGAAAGGTGAAAGTCCAGTCAAACCGGGTCTGTACAACCGCCGGTCTTATGAGGGAATCCGAACAGTTTCGTTTTCATCTGACAATGCGTAAGAAATCTTTGTTATATTTCGCTCTCATAATTGTTATGGATAAATATTTTAATGTTTCCGTTTTAAACGTGGCGACGATGATAAACGGAGGCTGAGAGATTACTGCCGGGGTGAGGTTGTACCGGATGGGCAGAGGGGCTCTCACAAGTGAAAAATTGCCTTGAGTGCGTTCGATTACTTCCCCCAGCTTGAATACTCGCGCCTGGCTCCTCTCGTGATGACAGACATGCGCAGAGTGGAGCTAAATAAACGAACGGTTTCGGGTCACAAGTTTCGTGCAAGAGCTGGAAGTTGAACTTTGACATGACACAGGCTGCATCCGAATCAACTGTTTAGAGCTAGATCTAGGTCCACGCCCATTGAAAATACGCGGGGACTCGCTGACAATAGATGTACAGCCGTAGCTCTGGCAGTCATATCTATTGCATGGCCTTATGGGATACTTACCCAAGTAACCGGCTCGGTGAGTCAGTTACTTGGGCCAGGCTCGAGTAAGCGCGATAAGTCACGTGAGAGGTAAATCGAACGCTGTCGCGCTTGCACGAGTAAGTGCGGGGAAGTAATCGAACGCACTCATTTTTTTTGAGGCAAGTTTGGTCACTGCGTGATCGATGTACACAATAAAAAAATGGTACATGAGTGATTTGAATGATTCTTGTTCTAAAAGAAAGCTTATGAATTGGGCTTTCATGTCCTAGATTTTGAAAGTGCTACATGCAGAACTTCAATAAAACAACAGTCCCGACATTTGAGTTTCGGTTTTTTTTATACTCGCCCTGTATTGTGCAAGCTTTGTGAAAAGCCCCCTTGAAAAATTTGTGCACTCCCATGTGCCCCTTAACCTAGTGATAGACCTGTTAGCATGCTCAGATATTGGCCTTATTTATGAGTCGGCCATAAATGAAAGCAATGACGTTACAAATTAATACCAGTCTGCTCTGATGAATAATTTAAAATTTGTGATTAAACTTACTACTCTTATGTTTTAAGCCACATTTAAAAAAAAAATGAAAGCGAGGCTATGGTGAATAAAATCTGGCACCATCCAATTCAACAGTTCACAATTGATGCAATACATCATCAGGGAACACGACAAAAATGGCCATGCAGCTTGTCCATAAGACCCGTACTAAAGAGTGCGGGTTGTCTGTCCAGTTTTGCTTTAAAAAGCTGTACTTTTGGAAAGCGTCTTCCCCGCACCATTAACTATGGCGTTTTAAATAAAAAGTACCAACATTTTCATGTTAATTTTTAAGACTTATTTTCGTTTGATTTTCGTCTTGTTTTGAATTATGTTTGTGATGCTTCAAGCGCGCACTGGGCCCAGATACTTTACTGATGTATCCATCTTTTACATTATTTTTGCACTTAGTCTCAACAATCCTATCGTATTCTAAAGTCCAATTATGTCCCTCGTAAAGTTAAAAAAGTTTATCCCATGTTTATTTTGAAGGGATCTTTGGCCGGACTGTAATCTCTTGAGTCTATTTTTACTCAACCTTTGATATTAAACTAGGTCAATGCGATATATTTAGAAAAACTCGAAAAAGATTGATGGCCACGAATATTTTCCCAAATTGTTGATGTTATTTATTAAACCGGTGAAGACTGAAGTATAATTGCAATAACTATAGTGGAATTCAATAGGCCTGTATGGGGAAACTGGTGCTTACAGTAAACTTTCCGCAGTGACAGTTATCCTATGCTGGATTGATTTTGGGTTAACTGTGTTTAAAAAGGTAATTAATGTACACCGTCAGCTCGCTGAATCTGTCGTACATAAAAGAACTCTTAAGTGAGGGAGCATGCCGGAGTACGAGTTAAGGATGTCTCATGGGGGGAAATGCCGCACATTTACCTGGCATACACGAGCGTGCACACACAATAGTGTTTCAAAAGCCAGGGCGTTTTTTTTTTTTACAAAGATGGTCCAAACCTTCATTAGTATTGATCATATACGGAGTTCCAGGCGTTAACAATTTCACAGACTATACGTCATACTTAGTATACGGCATGCTATACATGATGTATAGCATGCCTGATGTATAGCATGCCTATACTAAGTATGACGTATAGTCTGTGAAATTGTACATCACAAGTTGGCTATTTCATAATTCACTTTCGTTTTAGAATGTTTGCAAATGGTGTACATTACCTTTAAACAATTTACGGTTTCGTTGAAGACATGAGGAGAATGATGACCTTACAGACAAGAAAACAGACAGAAACCCTCTCTACGAGTTACAGCAGCAGATGGAGCGGTGCTGGTCGGTGATGCTCCAGAAACCGATGAGGCGCCATCCTCACCACAACCGATCCAGAAGAAAGACAGTCTAGAGGTACCAGTCACAAGGTACACTCAAACTAGACCCTCTTACAGCTCTTGGTGGCAGCAGATATCTTAGACAGAGCGGAGAGGGTTGCAGGCCAGTGAAAGGTCCACAATTCCCTAAATTTAATTGCCCACAGCTAGCTGCCGAATCTCCCTGTTTATAGCTCGCACTCGAGTACCACGATCCAGGCTCTCATTACCCCTGTTATAGTGTCGTTAAAATTTTAATGAGGACTGTCTCGCTCATTTACTGTAATCAACCTTAGAGTATTATCTTAAGTTTTTCATAATCTTGACCCATACACTTGTGTCCTGGACAATGTCAAAGGAAGGACGAATATCTAGACTATTCATAACAAACTATTAAATAAGCCGTGGATAGTATGATCTCTCAGAATCCGATCATTAATCAATGTTGTAATCGAGTCCTCACAAGTCCCCACAAGTCCTCGCATGTCAATCACAAGTCCTCCAGTCTAAATTCAAGTCACAAGCCATTCAAATGAATTGTAACTCAATAATTCATTTGTTAATTAAAGAGGAAAATGTTATTTTTACACAATCAAACTTATTTGTGTTTCTTTACGTTTCAATCAACATCGTTGCCCTTCATCAAAAGTTGTATACATAACGTCTGGGTGGCGCGAGCCAGACACTAGTCCCACACGTGCCTCAGCATGTAGCCCCCCTCGTCCCCATTCCTTTATCATCGTCACCCCCTGTTACTTATATACTGGACTTGTGGAAGAATTTGTCATTTACTCACGGGAAGGACTTGTGGTGGACTCACTACACCACAGTCATCAACTGAAAAGGACAAAATATCCTGGTACTGAACCGATTCACCTAAATTTCTTTGCACCACCACAGGTCCAAATCACTGCCCAAGGCCATCGTTGGTGCATTTTCGAAGTTTGAGGTAAAAGCACATCCTTCCGGTAACTAACACACTTCTCTTATAACTGAAACTTTCCATCTATAAAATTTACAAACATTGCCATTGAAGAACGTTTGCACAGATGAATAACTGAACAAATTGAGAATATTTATGAGTTGTATCCTGAATATTAGACGATCGATAGACCCCTTGCATGTAAAGCGCCCGCAACGAGAAAAGGTTTAGTTATTCAATTCAATGGCAATGAAAGTTCAATGTCTGTACTCATGAAGGAAATCGGCTTGTCCTGAGTGTAAAGCATATTGATCGTCTAATATCAAGGGTTACCCCATCCCTTATAAATATTCATAAATTCCCTGGTTTTATGCAGTTTAAATCTATATTCTGTCCTGCATGGGTGAGCTGGTCATTACTTTGTCACTTTTGTATAGGTTAAAAAAAAAAAAAAAAAAAAAAAAGCGGATACAGAAATTGAAATGTTTAGTATGTACAGTCGCGACAATAACGACAAAAATAGCCGGGGCTAAACCCTTCTAAATGATGTAACCGAATATAAGCAGCATAACACTCTGGCAGATATTGACCCGGTGCCAAATGAGCTTGAAAACCATAAGGGAAAACATTCAAATTCACGGCTTTGGATCAAAACTGTTAAAAAAATACCTCAACGAGTAGTAGTACTGATGGGTTCTCTCAAATTTCGAACATATTCACCAAGGGTTATTCATAAATCAATGAGGGTACTGATCAATGATCAGTAGTTATTATTTTCCCCTTTTTGGTATTTCTATTTTTTTTTTAATTTTTACAGTCTAATCGCGACAAACAGTTCCACAAATTGTTTGAGAACATCCCACAAGATGAAAAATTGATAAAATGTGAGTTTACTTGTTCGCTTCTTTGTGTTTTTTGGTGAGCAGTTTCTCTTTTGTGTTTTTTTTTAATCCTTCGACTTTATGTCCGACTTAGCTGAAAATCGAAATGTCCTCCAAAGAAAATAGTTCTTCTGCTTGATTTCGTCATAATTCGTCATAACTCTCTCAGCTGCTCCCTCAAATAGTTCTCTCAACTTAGTTGCTAGAAAGGTTCATCGAAAGCAAAATGTACTCCTATAATAGGCCTAATTATAAATGGCAGTACCCAGCAACTAAATCGATGCTAACGTTTTTACTGTACTATGCGTTCAAAACAGTTTACAGACTAGAAATGCCGTATCTAAAATCGATTTCACTACAAGATGTTCCAGAAGAAATATTGTCTGAATTTGTTCTTTCAGCCTACCCTTGTGCTTTAGTGCGTGACGTACTCCTCCAAGGCAGAATGTTCATATCTGCGAACTGGGTTTGTTTCAACGCAAACATCCTAGGCTTTGAAACAAAGGTGAGATGCATTTGAACAAATCTTTCTTGCTCTCATTCAGTTGGCATGAGCTGGCCAAGCAATCAAATAAAAACGGTCAACCACATTGACGGAGTTCCAGTACATAACTTTCGCATCATAACCCATTGTATTTGGATTGGCTTTTCATAATTTAGCCTATCCTGCAGGTACATTATTCCATTATGCCACCCAGGGTGGGAGTCAATCACGCATGAAGCTATAACTGTGCATTACAAAAAAAGGGTCACCATTCGGCATACTGTCTGTGTAACCCAGGAACGCTCACTCAAAACATAAACACAAGGATTTTTTTTTCATGTTTGATTGGTTTATATAGGTTGTCATTCCCGTGGATGCCATTCGCAACATATTCAAGACAAAGTACACTTTACTTGTTCCCAGCGCAGTAAGCATCCATACAGATACGGACAAGGTAAAGTCTGCATTTATATACTATTAGCAGTATAGTATCCCTTAATTTAGGCCTACTCGATATTTCTGAGCAGAACTCGAATTTGTTTATAGGCCAGACAATTATTATTCAGAGGTTACTGCGAAACCATGTTCAACGGTGCTCGTCTGAAATTACATAGAGTTCAGTTTTGAATTTAAATTTCTGTTTCTTTTAGCCAGGAAGCTACTGTAACAGAAACCATTTTGAAGACCTGTACCGAGTTCCTGAGAGTTTATGTAATATTTCCCGAACAAATTCTATCCACCAAAACATGAAACTTTCAAGTGCAAAAACGATGTGGGGAATAGGTAAGGGAATTTGTATCACCGCGTCTGGCTGTATGTGGTATCATAAAAAAAATTTTAAAATCGGAAATGCTGATAAAAACATAAGTGGACTGTAAACACTGTTTACTTGTATGTTTTTGAAACTTGAATAGAAACTTGGAATGGAAAAAAACTTAGCCGAACTGGAAAAACCCTAAATATGCATCTACTATATTTTCAGCATGTGTTCGGTTCTCTGTTATCCCGCCGAGCTACGTACAAGAAATTGATGGCAGTTCGGCATGGAAAAAGCACTAACGATGATGAGGTAAAATCAATTAAAATATTCTGATTGCATCCAATGGTATAAGTTTTTTTATCATTTTAAATCTGACATCACGAGAATGGAGTTTATGAGGCATTTATTACATAATAACATATTAAGTATTTATTTTAAAAAATATTTAAAACAAACTATTTTCATGTGTCCTGTCATCACGAAATAAGCACAATTTATAAAATCGAAATTTGGCATTTTGAAGTACAGTGGGGCAAAGCCAAAATTTGAAGGGGTGGTCAATTTTTGTTTGTTTCAGGTGACATTCAATATGTAAGTCCATGTTTTGTACCTCTTCCTTTTTTCCTTTTTTTTATTTGGTTTTCTGTTGTTTATTTGGCTGCCTGAAATCTTAAAGGCCTATTTTAGTATCCCATTTAATTACTTTACAATTCATTTACGTAGCACAACAGCGGGTTTTTAAATGCCATTTCACACCCAAAAATCGTTTGACAACTTGAATTTATTTTACGCCTAGTCGACGTATGGATTCATAAAAAAAAGTGTAAACGAAATTTTCTAAGGCACCAGCATTTCAAGATTTCTGGGTCAATTTCAAAGCTATCGTCATGAAAAGAAAGTATACGTTCTTCTTTTCCCTAAAGAGAAACAAACGTTTTGCAAAGACGGACAATGGCTTGGCACCAATTGTGCCGAGATTGCTCACTTTGTATGGATGTTGTTTCCCGTACGGTACAGGAAAAATCAATAGCGAGTCAAGATGGATCCTACAGCCAGGACGGTCGCGAAACATCACTCACCGACGATCAAGTCTTTGAGGTAAATAACAAAGGTGACTGTGGGTTCGTGGGTTCGAACTCTGACGGGAAACAATGCGCTTGTGTTCTTAGGCTGGGCACTTTACTACAATTGCCACCTTCCATCTAGGAGTATTAATGGGTACTTGTGAAGGTAGAGACCAAATTGCGCTGATCTCGAGCTGCTGCAGAAAAAAATGGTCTCGTGACTTGATGAACAGGGGTAACGAGCCCTTTGTATCATTTGGCCAATGCGATTTACAAATACCATTTGTAACTATTGTTATTATTATTCAGCTGGACAGATAATAGTTCACCATCTGTCTTGGTTTGACAGTCTCAGCTTCACAGTTTTAGTTTGAAAGTCTCAGGATCAATTAGGCTTCGGGTTTATGGTTTTATCTATAAGAGTTAAAAATGTTAATAGGCCCTATATATAGGGAGAGAGAGAGAGCAGTGTTTGTAAGTTAGGACGTTTAAGACATAGTACTCATTGACTGAGTCAGTCAATCAGTGAGTGAGAGACACAGTCAGTCGGGGGACAGTAGGATAGCCCTTCAAATCCAATGAAAAACAGTATTCATTGCAACATGCTACTTCAACATTGTACATTCGTAGATGAATACGTAAGCATGACTTAAAATAGAAATAGAATCATTCGCATAAATGCCCTTAAGGCGAATTCCCACACTCAGTTCAATTACATAAAAACTTATTGAAATACAGATAATTCAAAGAATAAAATAATAAATAGCTCAGTATTACTAATAGTTTGTTTAAAATAATAAAGACGTACATTCTTTAAAAAGTTTTCCCGAACGTTGGCCAAAATATCATCTGCTCACATGCACTTTTAGCAAATAATCTCTTAAAGTTGGTAATATTTCATTCAACTTAATCAATGATTTGAGGTAATTTCTTACCAAAAAATCGAGTAGAGTAATATTGCCCAGCATTGTTATTATTTTTTCACGGTAATATAAAATGTTAAGGATGTTTTAAAATAATGATTTCACAACAGGATGAGGAAGATGACTCAGATAGATCGCAGCCATTCAGATCTGAACCCCGTAAGATGATTTCTGGACGAGCACATCGCGTCAAGGAAGACAAAGACCAAGACATGCAGAATACAACCAGAGTAGGTAAGACTGCCACCGCCAACGCTTTCGCAGCTGAAAAAAAATATAATACAATAAATCCTTCCGACGCGTTTCCTGTCAGTTTTTAACTGAAATGGGTAATTTTATAATACAAAAAACAGTGACTTACGTTACTCATTAAAACAGCCTTAAAGATTATTGGTAACTAAGGCAAAACTCTCCTACTTTAAAACGGGTTGATTATTTTCTATTAAGGCGAAAGCCCGAGATTGATTTTTCTTTTTCTTTTTTTCAAGGGCGGTCAAGATTACAGACGTTTATTGTACAAGTAAAACACTTAGCCGAATCGGTCCGGGCTATGCAACTCGTGTTGCCCCTGGCTATATTGGTGTAAGTATCATTTTAAAAATTCAGCCGGTATTTTCTCGGTAACTAAATGAATACACAATAAGATTTCATCATCAGAATTAATCTTGTCTTTCCTACGATGTAAACTTTGGGTTGGGCTCTTTAAAAAAAAAGAAGTTATTGCTGATATGATTCTGACAAATGTGCTTGCTTTATTAAGAAACATCAACTGAAAAGAAAATGATATTTCATACATTTAATTTCATCACAGGATATGCTGTCTATGTGTATCTTCGTGCGTATTGGCCTGTCGCATTGCTAGAGTACAGGCTCAGATGCAGAAATTCCCCGAAGTAGCAGAAGCATTGGAGTAAGTCGTATCGTCGTTCGCATATCATGGATGTCATAGTCTTTCATTTATCTTCCATCTTCACCGATATTTCGAAAGCAGTTCAGAGCCTGAAAATAAAGCGTTATGAAATGTTCTAAGCACGATTGTATAGGCGATTAAAATAGAAACAATAAATCCCCTCAAATCTTCAACAACATTCAATCATTTAACATAATCACCCATCAACACGATTAGCACAATCAACTCAACTTTGTTCATCTTCACATATAGCACATACAACGCCTACAATCTATGTTTAAAAATATATCGTAGTTCTTTCAAAGAAAATTTCGATTAATGTGAATGATTTGATTTTCTATGTGTATAGGTGGAACAGGATACTGGTAACCAGTCAATCGGGTCATATGGACCAGGTGTCAAGACTTCGAGATTCACTGGTACTCAGTCTGCAAATACTCAACAAGGTACTATACTGCCAGGACGCTAATGGGGTTTTTTTTGCGGGCGGGGGGGGGGGGATATATCACGTGACTGCTGATGCTAATACAAGTGCTTTGAACAATTCGTGCAGAGTTATGTTCATACCTTTTCAAATGAATATGTTGCCAACTTTATTTTATCTGTAAAACGGGCATTGGCTTTTAAACCGTGAAACTATAATTGGGAGTTGGTACCTTAGTCTAATAACTCGGCACGAATCAGTGGGGGATCTGGGAATTTTTAAAGAAAAGGGTGGCAGTAGATGTTTAAGTAAGCACATACATAAACCACATGCTTGCATGGCTGTAAGAATATATTTACAATATTGTATGACGTTGTGTCACGTTGTTTCCTGATTATGTGAATACTTAATATTGGTCAGACATAATGGCAATGGGGTCGGTTAGCCACTAAAAGCACACAACTCAATCTGCACGTGAAGTTAACTTTGTTTTCGCTTGAAGTTATTTTGAAAGGCAAGTTTGGTTGACGCGCATCATCTAGAGCATGGAGGTGTTATTTGTACGCGAATACATTCCCTTCAGACACAATTATATAGTTCGGGTCATTTTTTTTTCGGGAATTTTGATAACCGACTCTTGCGGATCTGTCCTTGTCACTTTACTTACACAGATGCATTCATCACTACAGCTGATTAACCAACCGCCAACCACCACCACCAATGAAATGGATTCTCTTCCACACTAGATGATGACGTTCGGATTCTTATTTATAGTGGACCTCTCCTGCATGTCAATCAACCACTGTGCGAGGACCGAAATTAGATCACGATTTTTATTGTAAGATGGCCACGATAAAGCTCGGTCAATCTCAGTCACTGTGTGGAAATGAACCCCCTGATCTCCACGAACAAAAGAAATCTGGATAATCTCGAGGTGTACAAAAAAGGGAGTTATTATGCAGTCAGGCGACACTATGCACTGGTTCCCGATCTCTCGTTCCAAAGTGGGAAGGGAACCAGCCTGAACTACTCCCATTGTTCAAAATAATTGAAATAAAGTCTTCAAAAAGTATACGCAAATTTTTATCTAAACATAAATTTTATGTAACATATATTTTTTTGCCATTTTCCCGTCTTTTTCAAAATATAAATAATAATTCGTTGAGGAAAAAGTGTACATATTCAGTTAAATGAGATATTTTATTTAAAAAATATATTGTTCTTGGGGTGGTAATATGGCGAACGGTTGATTTTTGACTGAGACTGCGTAAAAAAATCAAGACTGGAAGGCAACAATCAGAAAGCCATTAAAGTCCTCACTTCCGTTCTCATCCGCATCATGTGAAGTTAAGCCAACAACTCTCGTTCTTAATCTTCAGGGGCTTCAGCAAGGGTTTCTGTGAATTTGACAGAAACGTTGGTCCGCCGATAAATTGTCATTTGGATGCCCGACGTTTACAGAGGACAGTTACCAATTTATTACCCATATGAAAAGATATCACTCAACTTAATGATCACCAAGTTTCTAAAACTGGCTGCCATGATTGACATCCCACGAAATTAGTTTGCTAAACTGACCCCGGTAAAGAACTAATGAAATTCACCCAATGTCATGCTGCTCGGCCGAATCGTCCAAGAGATATTAAAAAATATCAAAGGGGCACAATAATTGTGCCGCCCAATGATGGGCCAATTAAGTACTTTGTTACTTACACAAGAGTAATGAGAGAGACGACAATGACATTAATTCCTCTTGATGCTTTTATAGTAAATGTATCATAGGTAAATATTATCGTTTTCAGTTAACTCTAAGATCTATTTTGGCATGTGCAGAGTCTTAATATTTTGTACAATTCCCAAACATGGAAAGGCTATCAAGCAAGACGTTTGTTGATAATAATAAATATTGCAAAGTAAGAGGAGAATGTCACAGAAAACTTTTAGAGAGGGACAATATTTCAAACCTGGTGAATCACATTACATAACTGTTCCTTTTCCACCACCGGACTGCAAAACGTCCTGCGTGGTTTCTGACTGAATATTATTCTAAATTTTACATAATTGTACAAAACATCCACCATTTTTACAACTTCAATTTCTTGATATTGTATTTTGTGTGTGAAAATGCTCTTGTATAATTGAACTTTATAATATATTATTGAACAAAAAATGTACATGGCCCAAAACCATAACCACTGTTGTAAATTGTACATTTTCCAAGTTACAAAGGTTTTGTTTCAAATTAAACATGTCCTAACTGCCTCAGAATCTTCTGAATCCAGCTGCATAAGGATACAATACAGTGGCATTGTTCAATAGAACATATGAGTATGATGTCATCGGTCCTATAGAGAGATGCACAATATGACCTCACTGAGGTCAAATCTCGCATATAAGTTTACTGTGGGAAAACGGCTGTGCATTCCCTATATGGGACTAGCTCTCATCGTCCCAGAAACTTTTACAAGTTTATGCACTGGTGTTGATGGCAGCCCAATCCAACACAGCTTTTATACAGGTCTGTTGCACTGTGTTGATGTCAAATAATGACTTGATGTCAAATAATGCAGACGGACCCACTCAAAATGTTGGCACTGGGATCTTCTTGAAAGTCCGCAAGCACTCCTTGGAGCAACACAAACCCACAAAGCCAATGCTTTCCTGCGTCCGTTGCCAGGGCTGGGCCCAGTCAAGCTTGAGTAGATGTACCCAGGCCGTGGTGAAAATCGGCTTCTCATTACAGCTTGGTGCCATGCAATGTGCCGTGGGCATCCCTGCCAGGTCACTCAGGCTTCTTGGTAATGTCGATAAATCCAAAGTATCTGGAACAGTACAAATCACCAGCATTAACATTGCGCTTTGGCCAATTATAAATCAAATGGTGAGTCATTATCCTTTACTGATGGGGCAAAGTTTTCCTGGATCTATCGGTGCTGCCATCTGTCCAGGGAGCATAGGATCTGCACTACGCAGTCGATACCAGTAAACTCACTGGGAAGCAGACTTATCAGAGGATATGTCATAAAGAGGAACCTAGAATGAGGCCAATGAGGTACTACAGATGAATAGACATGCATCTAGGTTCCGCAGAATGTTTTGGTCATAAATCAAATGTGGAACCTTAAATTCATTCAGATCTAGGATCTACAGAAGACCAACCATCCAAGAAGAGTTCTTTGAACATGCAAAGGATATGTCAAGATTGGTAGGGGATTTCTGAAGAGAGACCTGGGAAAGAGTGATACATCAAATATCAATGGGAGATCAAGCATCTGAAGAGAGTTCTCAAAGAGAAGCTTATATGAGGGTTATCTTGGATGATGGATCTAGAAACACATCTGGCATTCTTACAGAGGTTGGGCACATAAGAAAAAACAGGAATCCAACCAGCATTTCTAGGAACGAAGAGGGTCATGATGAGGGGTTTACAGGATCTACAAAAAAATCTTGAAGAGAAATTGAGAATCCGAAGAGCAATTTAGGAACAAAAGAGGGTAAAATGAGGGATATCTATGTCCGCAAAAGACGCGAGGTACAAAGAAAAAGAATCGAAAGGGCATTCTAGGAGGAAGAGTATTGGATCACGGAGTTCTCATGGATCATAGTGTCAATGCATACCTTTCAAATGATGTACAGCTGCTAGACACAGGTCCAGCAATGGCAAGACCTCCTTGACTGGTTCATGCCCATCCTTAATGAGCCTGAGTTCAGGTGGTAAGATAGCAGACAGACCATTGGCCTTGATGATATGGATGGAGCGACGCTGCTCAGCAGATGGCTCGTCCATACCACATCTGGACAGACAGATATGGGAATAAGACATCACAGCAGATATACAATTATTGAAATCAGACTTCAAAATGGCTGTCCACAATTATCCACCATTTCGAGTCTGCGTTCAGACCACGTAGGCTACTACACTCCAACTGCCAACCTGCACGTAAATAACTCCGGCAAAAAAATGTCTTTCTGATACCGCATGGTGTAAATTTGACGTAATAGAATTACCTTGTAGCACCAATCTTCTTCTTCCACAGACTGAAAGGCAGTGCGAGAAGCAGGGGATTGTTGTCCACATACACTGTGCGTAGGTTCTCTTGCCATAGACCAAGATCTGCCAAGGGTTCGTAATGAAGAAAACAGCAGCCATTACTACACAAAAAGCTTGCCGAAGTGAGAAGGCTTTTAAAGTGGGCTAAAATGGCAATATAAGAAAGTAAAGATAAAAATGGTCATCCAGCGACCTGTTCACCTCTGGTAAAACATGATGGGCAGATTTTGGCAACAAAAAAATTTACATAAAATGCTAAATAGTTTGATTTTTTTCATCTTTCCGAGTTATTTTTTCTATCTTTCACTCGGGAGGTAACACACTGAGTATAATAATAATAATAATTTGGGAGGCTAATCATCCTTACTGGCAGCTGGTATGCTGAATTGCGAAGGACGCGGCTACAACGTGGTCGGGCCGCTGGCACGTAAAGGCGCCTATGGCTGCCGGCCACATCGACCCATATATGACCACGGAGCACAGCCTGAGATCGAAAGTGTTTTGATTTTTCCGGAGGGAGGAAAACCGGAGGGCCCGGAGAAAAACCCTCGTGGCACAGGAGAGAACCAACGCACAACTCTACTCACATGTGACCCGCGGCCAGGATTCGAACCGTGGTCACCTTGGTGAGAGGCGAGCGCTTTACGCACAAGCCACCCATGCCACCCATACCACCCTATGAAATGCAGTGTATATAGGTCGGTGAAGGGCAAAACTGATATTGATTTACATCACCCCGACGCAAATTCATCTCATGAATAACCAAAAGTTTGGTGGTTATTTATGTCGGTTTGGGTTCCTGGCCACGATGACCGTGGATATTCTAAATTGACCAGTACAACCCTCTACTTTGTACGTGCTCCATTTCCCCCCTCACCCAGCTCCTTTTCTGAGCCGAGGCAGGACTGGCAATTTTTGAAATTCTAGATGAAGGACTGCAAACTGTCAAGACTAAACAGGTCTCTGCTTATCCTCAACAGAAAATGAAATGACTATAGGGCTGTGCTGAATATTGGGATATTGAATCATCAAGTGTCTGATAGTGTTTGTTTTTATTCACATATTCTGCAATATCATCTCGAGGAGATGATAGAAAATGTCCATAATGTTCTTTTGTTTTAGTTGAGTGGTTTGGTTTGTCAAATGCCCCACTTTTGTCAAGTTCCATGAGAAAAATCCGCTGAAATTTCTTGTTTACAAAAATTGGTCAAACGCCAAGCATTCCATTGCCGTACCTCTTAGTTTTAACTAAATCTTCACTTTTCATCAAGTGCAGGCACTTGCACATCCAATTGGTGGCCAGTTTAGCCTGGCGCATGTTGAACTTGATCAGTGCATTCTGAGTATTCAAATATTCAATCTACCCCAATCAAGAATAATTTAATAATCACTTATGCAACAAACGCACAGCCCTAAATGACTGTATTTTCCATTGATATCAAATACACATGTACCAATGTCTTCCACTATCACACCGTTTACGTGTAAACTTTAGTAAAGCTTACTTTATTATAACTATAGTTGCCTCACATTTGTGGGCACCATACTATCGTTTTTTTTAGCATTACCCATGGGAAGGCACATAAGTCTGTTGCCGCTGACTGTCAACTCCTGCAAGTAGCCAAGACTTGTCAGTTGCCGTGGCAACCATCGTAACTGGTTGTTGATTAGATTCAGTGAGCGTAGCTTACTACAGTTGCTGAGCTCAATGGGGATACTGATAAGCTGGTTACAGCTGGCCTCCAGGATGCACAGATTTTGTAGATTTCCCAGCTCTGAAATAAAGAGCAAAAATATCAAATTCTTGTAGGACATTTGAACAAGACTCGCACAAGGGCATCCTGGAGCTAGTTCATATGTGAACTATGATTTATCATATTTTGACTAACTTTCCTCAAAGCCTAGTCGTGGCTGAAAACACTGAATGTATTGTTTTAGTTTGCGGTAACACCATGAGGTTAGAACTACTGTCGCTCAGTAGATATTTAGTTCTGATAAGAACTTGTCCTGCTTATTATCAACTTTCGCTAAGTAGTTTTTTAGCTCTGATAAGAACAGTCCTGCTTTAAGTTCTAAAAGAACTTACAGTAGGGTTGAGAGGCTCCAACTTTAAACGGCAGTGATTTTCCAGTCTTACAAGACACTGTTTCACTATTGTTAACTTCTACATCTGCTACCAATTGTGAACTGATGTGATTATTACAGCAGTCAAAATTTTTGTTTTCCCGATGCCCAGACTTAGATATTATGAGCATTCTCAGGAAGTACATTATACTGCCTGACATGTGCGCCACGTGGCGCCCACCATGCCGCCACCATGCCGCCATGGTAGAGCAGTGGAATCACATCAACAAGGTGCTGACCTCCAGACTGCTCAAGATTCTCTACAGACCCAAGTTCCAACTCTCTACATTGGCAATGCATGTTCTAGTACTTTTCACCGGTAAAAGGAGGCTGTGGGTTCAATTCAGTTACAATGTATGCACAAAACGCTCACTCATGCATATCATAGCAAAACAAAGGCATTGCCCTCTAAGATGGCTGCTAGGCATAAGGTAGCAGACCAGTAAATAAACTTCCATAGACCCCAATGGTAAATGCTCCCACTTCAAAAATTCGGGAAAAATACTCACAACTCTCCAAGGTGTTCGAGACGCACATCAAATTAAAGCTTATTTCTTCATCTTTCATTTTCTTTTCAATTTTTGGGGGGTCAACTGATGACTTTTAGGAGAAATTTCATCTGAAGATGATCACCCCTGAAAATAGTCCTGAAGCCCATCGCCATTTTGAAAAACGATGCCTACACTCCATTGCAAAATAGAGCGCTTTTAGGGTCCAAATTACATCCAAATTACACGGAACTGCAAGCTCCCAGTCCTGTGCACGGCTTCCACCCATATTTTTTAAAAACCCTCAAGTTCATGGCCCACAGCATGCTCAAATACTGAAGATTTTGAGGGCATGCAAATCGTGATTTGGCCGGCGTAGGCAATTTCGGACCGATTTACTGGTCTGCACCCATAAGGTCTATTGGATATAGAAGATGTTTGTTTGCCTTCCCCCTAATTCTAAGGGTGGAGGCCTCAAGCCGAAATCATGTGTCACCTCCCAACACCCCCTTAGTTATGCCAGTGGTGTAGAGCTCTCTATGGCCATCAGGTTTAGATCAACTAACCATACCTGGCGGAAGTGTAGTGAGCAAGTTGTCAGGTAGGAACAGTTTCTCCAAGGATGAAATTTGACCAAGGGACGCTGGTAGGCTCTTCAGCTGGTTGTTGCTGACGTCCAAAGACTGCAAACTTGTCAAGTTGCAGATTGCTACAGAGAAACCCAGAACACAGAGAAAATAATGCTGGAGGGTTCGTGAGCTCTGTTTCATTCAGTATGGTATTGTACTTTGATAAGATCCTGTTATTTTCTTCTCCAGTTCATTAACAATGTTCAATAACAAACATTAACAGGATTATGGATATATTGTTTTAGATGAATATCTGAAGGGTTTGCTTTAGCCAGGGTTCGACTTCAGCGGTAGCCCGCTAGCCAAATGCTAGTCAAAACAGCACCGGGCTAGTCAAACTATTTCTTTAGTAGCCCGGCTGGCGAGTCTAAAATTATTGGGCTACGGCAAAGACGAAAGGACAGGAAGAAATAAATCATGAAATTCAGAAAGCAAACCTGTATGAATTTGTGTCTAATTGTATTAACTGTTTGGGGTTAAATTACTAGATCTGTTTTTTAAAAACACTGACAAGATTGCCTCAGGATACACGTTTAACATGTATGCATATTATTGTTTATGAGACACTCTATAAAAAGAAAAACATGCGGACTAGTGAAAATGCCCGCGGGCTAGTAAAGAGTCGATGCGAATCATGCGATATCTCTTTTTTCGACAAAGAGGGGATATTTTCGCTCGAATTAAATGGCGCAGTGCCTTGATAATCAATTACTACTTTGGTCAAACTGTGAAGACAATCTTATGTGATTACAAAATTTACCCAGCACAAAGCCACAAAATATCACCAATGAATAGTACTCAATCACTATGAGCACAAAGTCATTTAGTGGTGTAATTCCTCTCTGAAACTTGATCATTGGACGCATGAATTTGTTCGGAAGTGTCTGAAACTGAATGTTGGGGACCAGGAAATGGTTATTTAATCAATTGGGATTGTACCTGGCTCATTCTAGAAATTTAGGGTCCAAGGTGTGACATTTTGCCTGTCCCTGTTACCTCTAAACTTTGTAGTTTGCCATTCAGCGTGTTCAAGTGTCATTAAAAATGACTTCCAACTACTTTGTATTTGGTGAGCAGGTAGATTGGTCACATAAATACTCTTGAAAACTGACTGCATTAACCCTAACCCCCTTGAGTGCTTTACCAGGAATCTTCCTCACTCTTGCAAAATCCAACACCATATGGTAAACTCTACACCCAAACTGTTGGACTCTGATTATGGTGGTACCGGTATGTCTGACCCCATGTAAAGCATAATCAGTTTACTAGTGCAGTGCTCACTCCAACAGATTCCAAGTTGCAGTTGGATTTTGAAGGGTTTGGGTGGTTAGGGTCAAGGGGTGCATCCGGAATTAAAAAAAAAAAAATCAATTTTGTTTAAACTAGGCCAAAAAACAAATAGCTCTGCTTCTGTTCACCCTACTGGGTACCTACCCTATCTTGACAGCCCCTACCCTAATTTTTTTTTTTTTTTTTTTTTTTTGGGGGGGGGGGGGAATTTAATGAAGGAAAAAAAACCCAAAACCATCATTTACTACCCTTTACCCTTGACTACAGGCAGACACCTCTGTATGATCGTACACAAACAAAATTGCCAAAAAAAAAAAAAACCCATTTCCCTACCTACATTTGTACCTACCCTATTTTCAAATGTCATGTAATTGAAAGCAGAACAATTTTTTTGGTCTTATTTACTATGATAAATATCTTCATGATATGGCTTACCATCGGGTAAACTTGTTAGACTATTAGAGTGAAGATATCTATGGGAAAAAGTAAATAGCATTTGCAATCAATTGTTCACAATGTTAGGTACTTTTTTTTAGGGAAGACTTGTTTTTCACATTCACATTGGTTACAATTTAACAACTCATTTGAATTTTTGAAATTATGTACTGAAAAAGAACCTGTATTGTCTGCATTAAATTTGTCAAAGTTTGCGGATGTTCAATGTACTTGTCCATGGAGTCCTTAATTAAGCTTAATTGGAAGAGCTGTGATACTAAATTCTGAGGATCCCAGATTTGAATCACTATAAATGTTTGTAGGCTCACCCATAAAAATTGCGATATTTGCAGCTAATTTCTCAGAACTGATTTCCAGCTAATTATTTTTTTCACAGAAATTTCACAAAACTTACAATTCCACAAGTCCTTTCAGATTGCCGATGTTGGCGGGCTGCAGGAAAGAAACAAGTTGAAAGAGCAGGAAAGTCATCATAGGAGAAGAATTTGAAGATTGCTGGAAGTTTATTGACAACTTGGTCACCAACAAATGACTATTACCCTAACCGAACTCAACCCATCAAAGTTCAACAGCAGGTTTTGTTTAAAGCTATAGTCCATCATTTGTAATTTGTGCATTTTGTTCGTTTGAAGCAACAAAGGGTTCAAAATCTAATGAAGGATACTGAACAACTAACCTGATGAAGTTTCAGATAAGCTTCATGTGTACATTCCGAGAAAAACAGCATTCTAAGATCTCAATTTCAAATCAAAAGTTACTGAATCATGTTTTGAATTGTTTTGAATTGCAGCTCTACGCGACGTAGCGCACTGATCCGACGAATTATAACAACCGCGCATGCGTGTGCATCGTTCCAATACTTGTGCGCGCTGCGCTGAATAACAAAACGAACTACTAATTTAATTTTCCTACGGTGCTTCTTAAGAATCACCGTTGGAAATGCCTTCTTTCGTTGATTACTGCAAAATGACAGCTTCCCAGAAGGAATAATTTCACAGGGAGTTTAGTTCCCTTACTATCTTTCAACCAAGTTTGTTTTTCAACAATAATTACGCCAATTATTTTTCGGATGGCTGCAAATGATGGACTATAGCTTTAAATCTGTTGGGATAGGTACAGTACCCCTAAACTGATGGTCTTTTACACTGGGGTTGGCATACCTCCAGAGACTATGTCCAACAGTGTGTGTGTACAATTTCCCATGTGGGTGCTGGAACTTGCCAGAATGGGTATGGTTCCTACTTTCCTCGCCTTCCACCACTGTGACCTGGATCAAATGTGGAATGGTTTTCAGTCCCTGCCTGATTCCGTGGGTTTTCCTCAGAATATAATTCTCTATAAATTCAGAATATATATTTTCCTCAATAAAAGCATGACATCATTATTTCATTGGTCCACTGGACGCTGCTTCAATGCACTGGCATGGCAAGCCAATCTATACTATAGAGGTCATGCGATTGCCAGCAGTGGCCTGCAGTCTCCTTCTATAACACCAGCAAGAGAAAATGATGAAAACCTTAAGTCTCAAGACTATATCAAGATCAATTAATGCTTACCAAGGTTTTCAGCAGATTTCTCTTCAGGTAAAGATGTTGCAGGTGTCCGAATGTCTGAACGTCTTCAACCAACGCAGTGGGGATTTCCTTCAGTCCTTTGTAGTTGAGATAAATCTTCTTGTGGTGTTTCTCTTCAGCTTCTGGAGCAGTTCTTCCACACTGCTCGCTTCGCTGTCCTCGGCTGCAATTGATGCACTCCTTGTAGTCATGGTTACTCAGTGTTCACCTGTGAACATAATGAGATGCCTGTTTCTGCAGCCACATTTATATATTCAGACTGGTTCACCAAATGCTGTTAAACATGCCAACAACAACCCAACTTTACCAACACTGCAGCAAACAAGATTAACATATAACCTGGTTACTACTGACAACTTGAATTCTGTATAGAGTGTAGTCCATCATTATACTTCACTCTCACTGACTGTCACCATTATTGTAGACTTTTGAGGAAAAGAGTGGTTGCGTTGCCATTTTCAAGCTAATTGGTTGCAAAGGCTTCCAAGCCTTATCTGTGCAGTTTTAGGAGGATCCGATGAAACTGGTGTAAGTTAACATGGTGGCAACTAAAAATGGTATTTGGAAAGTAGGAAGAATGTAGTAGTATCCAGACGCCACTTGTTTGTGTACAAAGTCTATGGCGAGTCAAAACATTTTCAAAGTATTTTCTAACAAAATTGCAAATGTTTCTCAGTCCCAGATTCATGTCTTTTCAACATTTTTGGGGAAGAATCCATACATGGACATCATTAAAAATAAATCCAGCAGTGACATATCACTTGATCATCAGCTAGCCATCAGAAATCGATAAAATTTTAAAAGTCAAATTTAGCACTCAATAGTGAAAAATATTGAAGTATTATTTAGCCTAGCTAGCCTACTTCTAGCCCCATAAATGTGGCCTATTTACTGGACTGCCTCCGTAAACATAGGCCACACGTCCACATGTACAAAAATCGTGTCGACTTTGCCATATTTTGATTTTCACATTTAGGCTTAGTTTTGTAGGATTTTTTTGCTTTAGAAGCATACTCACCCACTTAATAGGCTAGTCAGAAAGTGCTGCCTTTTTCAGATGTCTAATTTTTGTGAAATTTTGTTGAAATTTTGATACGCAAACGTGTAAAAATGAATCTGGAAATTTCACAAAAAATATACATCTGAAAAAGGCAGCACTTTCTGATTAGCCTATAAAGAGGGTGAGTATGCTTCTAAAGCAAACTAAGCCTTAATGTGAAAATCAAAATTTGGCAAAGTCGACGCGATTTTTGTACATGTGGATGTGTGGCCTATGTTTACGGAGGCAGTCCAGTAAATAGGCCACATTTATGGGGCTAGCCTACTTCTTGTTAAAATTCTCAGCATGGAGCTATGGTGAAAAAGCGCCATGAGGAGAAAACAAGTGTCAAGTGATGTTCTGGTATATGGAACTCTTTCCCATTTTTGCATTGACTGACCTTCATCGAGATGATATGTGACGGAAAAGTCGCGTCGTCTGCATGCGATATGCGCCACTCTTCGCGTTCAGTCATTGATGAATGTCTGCATGATCTATGGAAGTGTAGATAGGACATGGTTAAAAAAATAAATCTAATTCGTACGTACGAATTACTAAACCGTACGTACGAATTACTAATTCGTACGTACGAATTACTAAACCATTCGTAGGAATTACTAAACCGTACGTACGAATTAATAAATCG